AAGGCAGCCCCCCCCCCCCTACATCAAATGTGCCAACTCCACCATCCCCTTTTATTTTTTATTTTTTCATCAGTTTTTATCGTTTTTAAAATTGTATACTAAAGCACTGATAGTATTTAAAAAGACTAGAAAATAATTTACAGGTTCATTTTTGTTTCAAAATTAATCCGGATTTTGAAATTAGATTTTTAATGTGTAAATTAAAATAAAAATTAAAATATTTCATTTGTAAAAATGTTGTAAAAATGCGGGATAGCAAAATTTAATTTTATATTTAACTTGTTTTTCATGAATAAAATTTGTACTATGGAAGATATTGTTATGTATTCCAGAACTTCATCAGATTTTTCATTTTATTATGTTCGCATTTTCCTCCAAAATTGAAGAAACACATCAAAGTATAGTTCTGGTTTGGTTAATTTACAAAAACCGTAAAAAATGGTATATTTTTTTCCAATGGTAACACATTTTTTGTTCTTAAAAATTGCCTTCTGAGTTTCTCTTGATGATACCTGTTTTATAACAATACTGTTACTACGGGACAGTGCTGTTACTTGACCCCCCCCCCCCCGCCCCCATCCTGCTGAAATTAGAAATTAAATCATTTTTTTGGGGGGTTACTGGTATCAAAATTGATTCCTTTTAGTTGATTCAAATTTTTTCTCCAAAATCCTTGGGAATCAAAAAATGTTCTTTCTGTTTTATTATTAATGAGAGCGTACTTATTTTTTCTTTTTTAGGCAATAACTTATATGAGTATACCCTGTGAATATAGAAGTTTTGGATGCAGGATAGAAATAAACTTCAAAGACAAAGAAATGGTAAGAACTTGTTTTATTTCCAAATTGGGACGAAAAAGTATGATTTTCATGAAAAACTGTTTAATGAAGAACTAAACTTAGGGAGTAATAATTATGTTTCTAAACTCCTTTAGTTATCAACGATGGTTTTCTTAACTCCTTAAAAATAATGGTTTTTTTCTTCTGAAATTTGAAAATATAAATATGCATTTTATAAGAAAAAGTTAAGTTGGCACCCCTAAAGAAAGGCCTTAAAGTAAAATTATGGAGGTACAATACATGTTCCTAGCCCAACTTTTCAAGTACAGCTTATTAAAAATAATACCTCTTTTTAATGGTTTGAGGGCTTGGGAGGTTTAAATCATAGAGTATGGCGGAAAGTCGAAAAATACAAAAATGTTCAAATAATAATAATAAAGCTATAGGCCATTTTAGATTATTTGAATGACCGGCCGACCCTTCACGTCGTTAAAAGAGCTGTAAAAAAAATCAGCTGAATTCAGATTCAGATTTTTAAAAATTAAGATTAAAAGCAGAAGACTCAACATTTAAACCTGCTGAAGTGTCAAATATATATTCAGCACCAATTGTCCACGATAATTAGGTACGACACATTTTTTAATCACCTTTTTTACTGACTCTTTAAACTTTTTTAAAAATGGTTCAGCAATTGTAAAACGGGGATGTCTTTTTTTCTCAAGAGATTCAAAATTTACCTTCTTTTTCGAGTGTACGTGATAATTTTTAAATTTCCACGCAGATACATACATCCAATTTATGAGCTTCCCTATGGTCTCATACCGTCCATTATTCGTGTTTTCCTTAATACTGCCCTCGTACTAACAAAGTAAGTATAACCTTCCTCTCCCTGGCTTGCATACATAGTACGATTCGGTGCTATGGAAACGCCTCAACACGGAAACGTCTCAACACGGAAATGCCTCAAAAAAAAGCGGAAACCCCTCAAAAACCGGTTTTTTTGAGACGTTTCCGCAATTTCTGCAAGAAAAACGGAAATCCCTCAAAACCCAGTTTTTGAGGGGTTTCCTCTTTATTTTGAGGCGTTTCCTAAAATTTTTGAGGGGTTTCCGCTNAGGAAACCCCTCAAAAACTGGGTTTTGAGGGATTTCCGTTTTTCTTGCAGAAATTGCGGAAACGTCTCAAAAAAACCGGTTTTTGAGGGGTTTCCGCTTTTTTTTGAGGCATTTCCGTGTTGAGACGTTTCCGTGTTGAGGCGTTTCCATAGCACCGTACGATTCTTGGCCCCTCTCCCTCCACGACACATAACCCCCCAGTGGGCCCCAAGTGGGCTAGTTTAGGGGGTCAGGGGTTGACTATAAGTTTGTGTCACAATCGTCTTTTTAAAATACATATGCCTTGTGTGTCATATGATAAGAATTGACTTGCTTAAATGGATTCTGAAATCTTTTGATTTACAAACATTTTATCAATTGTAGCTTGCATTTATCTATAATGATTTCAATTTATAATTAGTTTACCCGTTCATATATGTATACATGAATGGATAATCCGCTATATTGCATACATTTCAGAGGTCATTGTTTGCATAGGTTACACAGGATACGTAAAGGTTGCAAAAAACATATACTCGAGTTTTTTTTATAAGAAATTCCAGTGTATTTAGGATATTCTACTACTAAGGCTTGGGCACTTCTCTAAAAAAATGTTTAAGCGGCCGTGAAGTATTTGACTTGAATAAGATGTTTATGGTGTTAACTCAATTTTGGTGACAACCACCCCTCCACCTTAATACCCAAAATACCCCTAATCCTCCACTACTAGTTCAATCCAGTTCTTGATACTGCCTTCATACCACCTTACCTTTCTCGGCATACATACAACCTACATACCACAAATCTACATGGCCCAACAGAAAATCCGCGAACTTTTTTGTCGCTCAAAATCAAAAGTTCAAAAAATCAAAATAGTGTATATATATTATTTCTATCAAATTCTAAAATTTTTAAAACTTTGAATCTTAGAATAACAGAAAATTCACAATTTTTAGTTCTGGTCTAATTTTGAAGGAAAAGTTGTTGTTTAACTCCTTAGTTTTCAACTGAACGGCGTATATTTATTACAAAATATTATAAGAAGAAAGGAACTGTAGGATTTAAAGATTACATTATTCAAGATTTTCAAACAAAATTTCCAGCAATCCATTCTCCTTCAACCATTTATTTTACATATTTTCCAAGTTTTTAAATTGATCAATATTTAAAAAAACATTTTGGGCACTCAGTGCAAATGCTCAATTTAATTTTATCAGTTAGTAAAAAAGTAATAATCGAACTCAGAATCCTGTGCAGTTTAATTGGTTCCCAGATTTTTAAAAAAAATTTTAAAACATGTCACACGATTATCTTGGTACGGCGTAGGCAGAAAAAAATCCATTTTACTATTTCTGTGCCTCCAAAGGTTCAAGTTTTTTTTTCATTATATTTTGTCATTTGCTAAAGATTAAGACAACATTTACTCTAAAAATGTTTGAATTTTCTTAAAAAAATTCCTGTACAAAATCAAATAAATAGAATTCTGAATGAGCAAAACATTCTTAAAGGGACTGTACGCGTAATCTGACCTGAGCGGAAAACTTTAGAATGGTGGATACCAAGATTAATTCTTTTTAAAACCCCCAAGATTATTTTAAAACGCATTCGATAACCAAGAAAGAAGTTGAAAATTTAACCAACCAGCGGTCATGTTATGATGTACTCTTTAATTTTTGAAAAACCGGTTTTGATTTATGTCATATCATTTGAACTAAACATCGATTGAAAATAAGACTAACGTTCAAAATTACAATAGTTCTAAAAATTTTCATATGAACTTGATTGAAGTCATCTTTCTTTAGATGCTCTAAAAGCCGACTTGTGATCAGCTGACTTTAATTCAATCGGATATTAGTCCAATAAATATAGAATTGTATCTGTATTCGTTATCAAACGTAACTTTTATACAGTAGAAATATCCAAAAAGAGGATTAAGAATAAAATCAAAAGTGTGTACATTGGATACTCAGATTAAGCGATCGTGATTAAGGATATCTCATTCTAAAGATTTCAGCTCAGACCCTGTATGCAAAGATGGGAATGCCCGAAATACAAAGAGCACATTTTAATAACTTTAATGACCTGGTATGGTCATTGATATAGTTATTATGAAACCTGAGGAAAACACGAAATTTGTGATCATGAAACAACGTGAGTGTCTCGTCATTGAAAAAGGCATGACTTTCTACCATTTTAACATGTAAGAAGAAAAAATCATAAGAAAATGATCACATTTGTGATTTAACAAGGACAAAATGCAGTTCATATTATGTACAGTGTACACGTTTGGCAGTAGGTACATGATTTGATATTTTTAACTTGCATATTAGGGGGATCAATTTATCTCCCTGCCGGTATTTGATTTTCTAAAAACCAAGCCTAGTTAGATCCCAGGCATGGTTCGTTGTTTTAAGTTTTATAAGCGTATAATGTTAACTACGTCTTAGATTTTCTCTAATCCCGATCATTATTTTCTTATCAGGTCTCATCGCAGGAATGCAGTACGGCTTTTAAAAGAACTATATTGTTATTTTCAATGATCTTCAATTTAAAGAGGGACATGCTCGATTCACAACTGTACCCTTGAAACATTAAAGTTATTGCTCGCGAGTACAGAGTAATGAGAAAATTGTTAAAAACTCGCGACGCTCACAGCCGTAGAATCTCCGATTTGCTACGTCGTAGTTACAACATTATTTATTCAATTAATTTCAAACTTATGACCAATCCATAGTGTATTCCTATATTTATAGGGGCACCCTGCTAAACGTAAATATATTTTTAAGGCGTTTTCTGTGTAAACGTGCCTTGTAAACTGTATATTGCACACATTAGAGGATTCTTTTAAGACTAAATTTTGATAACGTTTCTTTTGTTTAGCATGAACGACAGTGCAGATTCCGTCCATACATTTGCCCGTACATAGAGTGTGATCACAAGCTAGCAGCAGACGCAGTTGTACTTCATGTCAGTACAGCACATAGGTAGGTGTCATCAGTTTTCTTCATTTGTCAGTAAATTGGCATGTGCAAGTAGTTATGTAAGTACATCGGAAACGACCATTTAAAAAAAAAACTATCATTTTTTGTCGTCGTTTTCATAACGAAACGAGCGTTTAAGAAAGAAATGAAAACGTTAACAACCCTAGACTAGGGGTACAGGGCGGAAAAAAGTCTAAAATAGCCCATAACATATTTGTTTAAAATCAAAAAAAATGTCTTTTTCATTGTCGGACCCTTTTTAAGGATTTTTTTATCAACCCTCACTAGCACCCAAAATAATAAAGATATCTGTCTAATTTTTTTTCAATGAGCTGGCCTTGAAAAATTGGGGGTCCCCCAGGCTATACATAGATTCAGACCCCCCAGCCTAGATAGGGTTAAACCATCAGAGATTTATCATTTCTTGTAAGGTAGATGTTGGAAAGAGGGTGGGGGCTAGATTAGGGAAGAAGGGGAGTTGTGAGGTAGATGTGGAAAAGGGCGTGGGTTGTTAGCTAGATGTGAGAAACGGGTGTGATACATTTATGTATATAAATATGGGAAGGGGGGATGGCTTAGCTTATTACACTATTTTATCAAGGTGCATCAAACACAGAGGAGTTTTGCAACACAAAAGATTTTGCACTGGAAACTTAAGTAACGGGTGACTACACAATACACCTAGTCTTTGTAGAAGCTTGTATATCTGCTGGTTGCATAAGCTGAAACTTTTATAACGTTGAATCAAAAAGAACTTTGGCAGATTCTATGCTTATATAGCTTGCTATAGTGCCGGGGTTTCTGTTATGTCAGGGAAATCAAAGATGGCTTTACAGTTAAAATTGTTACCATAAGAAATAAACACAAACACCTCATTTTTATATATATATATATACTAGGGTTTCCATTTGGTTTTTTTTTAATGAGCCAATTCGAAACCTAAATACGTCAGAAGAAAATGATTTAAAATTGCCGACTTTCAACAGTTAAAAGTTTTAAATATTTACAGGAACGGGGGCGCAGAGCACTCTAAAAGCGCAGTAAAACATAATACTTAACATTTTTGTAGCATATTAGGGATTAAAATCTGAAACAGGCATCTAAGTTTTTAGAAGTATACTGCTGAGAACTTTTAAGTACACAATTAACATTAAATTTTTGTAGCTAAGCAAGATTTAGTAAATATAGAGAAATTAACTTTTTTTCTGCTGACTGAAACAGCAGACGGGAGCGGCTTATGATATTTTCCAAAGGGTCGGGGGGTTATAGAATTTTTTTTTGAAATTTTTTACAGCAAATTTGGTCAAAACCATGAGCATCGGAGAAACTTGGGGGTGGAAGGTGGAAAACGTATTAACAAGATTCGGATTTTTAAAAAATATATATTTTAAAGTGAAAAAGGTGCGCACCAGTCAAAAACTTTTTAATCTCTTCCTAAAAATAAAAATTAAAGGGACTGCTTACTCTTCTTGCGCTCCTAGTTTTTTCAATGTGGGGGCGTTTACCCCCCCCCCCACAAGCTGCCTCTGAAAACAGGTGAAATATTACAAACGACGGTATGCTCTTATTTAAAAATTGTACACCGTAAAATGTCTCATTGGTATCAAATGAATTCCTAAGTTTTTCTCTACAATACTGCACTTTCAGCTAGTCGGTCTCTTCAAGTTACTGTTATTATTATTGTTATTTTATTGTCTTTGTTACTGTAGTTGTTATTGTTACTGTTACTGTTACTGTTACTGTTACTGTTACTGTTACTGTGTTACTGTTACTGTTACTGTTACTGTTACTGTTACTGTCACTGTTACTGTTACTGTTATTGTTATTGTTATTGTTTTTGTTATTGTTACTGTTATTGCTATTGCTATTGTTATTGTTATTGTTACTGTTATTGTTACTGTTATTGTTACTGTTATTGTTATTGTTATTGCTACTGTTATTGTTACTGTTATTGTTACTGTTACTGTTATTGTTATTGATATTCTTATTGATATTGATATGGATATTGATATTGATATTGATGTTGATGTTGATGTTGATGTTGATGTTGATGTTGATGTTGATGTTGATGTTGATGTTGATGTTGATGTTGATGTTGATGATGTTGATGTTGATGTTGATGTTGATGTTGATGTTGATATTGATGTTGATGATGATGATGATGTTGATGTTAATGTTGATGTTGATGTTGATGTTGATGTTGATATTGAAAATGTTATTATTATTGTTATAATTATAATTAATATAGTTTTCACTATTTATAGAGATATTTAAGAAGATTAAACTGGTTTCAAAGTTGAAAATATTTCAGTTGGTTTTATAAGCTGGTTAGTTTTAAAGGTTCAGATTAGAAAGAACATATATAGAACCATGCTACAGGGGTTTCTGTTCTGGATTTATTAAAGGATTGTTATGAGAAGGTTCAATCAGAACAGAACTTAGCAATTGTGCAGTAAATTGCGTAATAGAGGCAACAAAACAATAAACATTGAATAAATATATTAGATAAATATCTTGTTAAAAGAGGCCGAATTTTAAGAATTTAACCCCCGAATCTAAACTCTCAAAACCTCGGTTCCAATTGAGCGCCAGCTCAAACACTAAATACAATTTAAAGTGGAACCAACCATACCTTAGCCGCGTCTCAAACTTAAACGCGGCTCAAATTCTTCAAGTTTGGCCTTTGGGTTTCCAGATAGTTTTTAATTTTTTCATTACAAATCATTCCCAGAATAGAAATAATGTATATAACACATTTTGCTTTCCTGAACTTTTGATTTCGAGATAAAAAGTTTCGCAGATTCTTTTTTGGGCCATTGGAGTACCAAAAAAAAAAAATATATTCCATACAGGAGAGTTGCACAAAAAATGTACAATTTTGCACCCAACGCCGCGAATCACACTTTTTTTAGACTCACTCTGTACACCTCTGCCTGAATAGTAAATACGAACTGACAGGTTTGCTTAATTGAAAGATTTAGCCCCTGTATCTTATCAATGTTGTAAGTCTGGTTTAGAACAATGCACACGACGAGAAGTTGAATTTAGAATGCACTTTTTCATTGATAATGTCAAAATAAAGAGACTGAAGGCGTCACTTGAAATCACGCATACAATCCCTTTAAACAGTAACTTCAACTTTCTTAGATATTAAATGTGTACGATAAATAATTTTAATATTTTTACCCTTATTGCTTAGGATCCATCCCATCTTGACAACAATAATGTGTACATACTTATTTTGAAACTTTTCATCTACTAGTAAGAAGTGCAGATCTTTAAGGCCTTGTATCTTGGTCAGGCCCTCACACCAAGCTGTAAAAATTGTAGGTTAAAATATTTATTCCATAGGTTCTGACTACGGGGGGTGCTTCTAAGTGGTTCCGGGTAACTCCCTAGCTATCTCACCAAAATCAGAAAACTTGTCTTCTCAAGCAATATTGATTTATTGATTGAAATCATTTTTATCTTTAAAATTCGGTGATGGTGATGGACCAAACCTCTGTAGAGTAAAAAAGTAGATGTTAGTTCCACACATTTATTGAAAATATATTTCGGTCTGGGTTGACCCTCGTCAGTTTTTGAGATTGTTTCTGTCACAAAGGTTTTTATCAAAAAATTACCATGCTATCAGTCATATCTCCAGTTCCAAGCAAGCTATAGACAAGAAAAAGATACATTTTGAGAATTTTCAAATCAGACTTGAAATCACTGTTCTTGTAGTATCTTAATTGTTTTTAATACTGGAGGCGCTATGAGGGCTCTTAGTTTTTTTTTAACAATATTTAGCAAGTTTTTAACATAAATCTGGTCTCCAACAGTCTCGAGACAAGAAAGTATATAAAGTTTATATTTTTAAATAGCCTATTCAGTTTAATTTGTTTTGTAGCTTTTCCATGTAAAGTGTAAGATTGTGGAGGTGCTAAAAGGGCGTAAGATTAAACTGGTCATCTTTTTTTAAAGAACTTCTTGGTATGTTTACTGCTTATAACTTTCGTCTTCTTTAAGTAAACTCTATTTGATACATTTGTTTATTTTGTAATTGTGTTTTGGGTATATACGATCAACTATCTAAGTTGCAGATGTATAAAAAAACCATCTCTTTATAAACTTTCAATTTTATGTCTCTTTGAACGGATCACACCGATTATTTAAGATTGAAATTCAATAATTTTGAATTTTCAATGATTTTCAAATTTTTAAAAATTTAAGATAATAGTTTTTTATTGCAGAAGTAGCAGCAATAAGTTTTGTGTTAATATCATTTGCGATTTGATGAGTTTAACCCATTTTTATGATAAAGGAGAAACTTTGGATTTATTTAAAGTTAGCAGTTTTAACTAATATTTTTAGAATAATTATTTTTTAACCAAATTAACAATCAATTAACAAGATTTTGTACTGAAAGATGAACAAATTAGTTTTTTAAGATCACGATAAAAAGGTCAAGAAGTTTTTTCAATAAAGCGGAAATATAATTTTGCTTCCTAATAACCCCACCAACTTGCACTTTACATTAAAGAATTACGAACCAGCTTAGTCTGAATCAAAATTATTAGTTAAAATTATCAGAAAAATATTTTCTTGCTAAAGCATGTTGGAGCTACCAGAATTGTGTCTCAAAATCTGCTAAATTTAAAAATGGCATAGAAAATATTTTGCGCCATATTAACGCCTTCAGTATAAAAGTATAAAATAGAATTAAATTGAGAATTCTAAAAATATTTTTTTTAATTTCTAAAGCTTGCTTGGAACTGGAGACATAACTGAGTGTTAGTGTTATTAATCAATATTGCTTGAGAAGACAAGTTTTCAGATTTTGGTGAGATAGCTAGGGAGTTACCTGGGACCACTTAGAAGCTCCCCCCGTAGTCAGAACCTATGGGATGATAATATTAACTTAAAATTTGTGCAGCTTTTTTTTCCCTCTTCCGACCATTGTATTTAATATTAAAATTTTGATCGTCAGTGGAATGTTGAGCGGATTGTTTATGTAAAAAAATTGAATCCGATTTAAAACTTTCAAAACAATAAAAATTTAGTTTTCTTGTGTTTTACATTTTTTAAGTGGGATTATAGTGGGTGGCAGTATTTACCATTTGTGCCTTTTTACCCCGTTATTAAAACTAACGTAATGATAATGTTCAAAAAGTAATCAGTCGTCTTTTTAACTAATAATTGATCGTTCAGGGAGGAATGCAGACGATCTGATGGGCCAGAGATCACAGCTAGCATGATATTGATAGGTACGTAATGCGTGCAATTTCAGTTCAGTAGAGGGTGGGGTAGTGCATACCCCCCCCCCCCACATACAGACAGCCCGGGCCTTTAATGGAAAGTACTTAAAACATGAAGAAAAAAATATCAACGATTTTTTTTCACTTATTTTTTTTTTAGAAATTTCGATCATTGTCGAACATATTTTTTACAAAAACATAAAAGAATGTTGAATGTCTAATAATTGTGTTTGTCATTGATTTTTGTTTTCTTTATCAGACTTTATTTTGGCTTAAAGATGTTGCACAAAAATACAAGACGTTTGAATCATTGAAACATTTTACACGTTTTAAGTTTACTATTTTACTGACAAAGTTTTGTATCTTCGCCAGGGTAGGATTTTTTGCGCTTATTGTAAAGAGCGTACAAATGAAATGAGTTTTAGCCACAAACTTAAATTTTCAAATCCCTATATCTTTGGAACCTTATGGTGTAAACATTAGATATTTCCAAAAAACGAATTCTGTTTAAAATTTAAAATGTTCACAGGTTGGAAAAATATAGAGATTAGGAAATGCAAGTTTGTGGTTACGACTCAACTCGTTTAAAGTCTCGTCGGAGTATCATAAGGCCTCCATTCACCCCCCCCCCCCCCCAAAAAAAAAAAAAAAAAAAATCACAAGAATGATAATATCCTCGATAATGCAGGAATGTACTTCGGTGGGGATGGTGCGTGGTCTCCTCGTGTTATCACTTGCTTCGGGAGAACATTCTTTGATGTAGCCCTTACCAGAGATAGGTAATACCAGCGCAAGAGCCCGGCGTTGCCCGTCAAATTCAAATTTTTTTTTATTTCGATTTAAAAAAAAACTTTTTTTGAAGAAAAAAAACGATTTTTTAAACAAAATTTCGATTTTAAACTAATGTATCGTTTACTTTTAGACAAATTGGTGGAAATTTAAACCCCCGAGGGCGTTTTATCGGACTTCTAGCAAACTAGAATGATTAATTTTCATGTGACCTCCCATTTATAGAATGCCTTGACCGATCCACAACGGTACCCTTTATCTGACCAAGTATGAATTAGGTATCCATGTTTATAATTTTGAAAAATGACTATTTCAATTTTGATTTTTCTTACTAAGGTGACTTCATTTCTACTGTAGTGTAGACATATGAAGTTCGATTTTAACATTTTTAACATTTTTAACATTTTACATCTTTGACATTTCCGATCGATGGGCACATTGTAACATTAAAACTGGGGAAGTTATGACACTTTCAAGTTTACAATTTTGGACTTGGTTGATATTCATGAGTTTGTTTTCTTTGTTTTTCAAACATGTTATTTTTGAAGAGTCTCAAAAGAGAAAAAAGTCAATGTGCACAAGAGTGATAATGGATATAAAAGCTAAAACTGCCGAAATGTATCGTAAACAAATCAATGGAGGACATTTATTTGTTTACGATACGCTGTACGTTATTCCAACATTTTCAAACGTAGACGTGAAAGTTAAGATAAGTTTCTCTTTTACATTTACTATTGCAGACTTTAAACTGCCGTAACATATCTTCAAGTTTAGTGCTAAAATCTTAAAATTGGTGTTCACTGATCGGAAATATTACGTAGATTTTGAAAATGAAATTGTAAAATTCAAACTAAGAACAGAGCGGTTTTTTATAAAAAAGAATGGCATTATCTTTAAATAGATAAATGTTTTATCATTTTATGTGTACCTTTGTGAATCGGGCATTGCTACCTCTTGCATTGAAATTACAATTAGCTTACAGTACCTTTGTAGTTTTCAATTGTAGCTGCTCTGTCTGAAGACAAATTGAACAATTTTTGAAATTAAAATTTAAACATGCTATGCAACCAAATAAACTTGCATTCCTTTTACTTGGGCGTTAAAATGAAAATTTGATGAGCTAAAGTCAGCTTTTAAAACCTTAAAAGTCGAATACATATCCTTCGACAAGTACATACAATTTTGCAAATCCAATTTACAAAAGTCGAATTCAGCAAAGCACTAAAAATGTTAAACTGAAAAAGTTGAAAATATTATTTATATATTTATATATACACAAGAATTTAGCAATTCAATATTTATGACTTAACATGTTTTTATTACTGGTTACGCAGTACAAAGTCTGCGCAATATCTCTTAAAAATTGGCAATAGTATGTAATCTTACTGGTTGTATTATTGAGTACGCTTTCTAGACCCCCGCAGACATATTTATGAACAGAAGCTGCTATAAATCCCATTTAATAGCATTCACAAATATATTATGCCCATTGTCCATAGTTTGTTGCTAGGTTATCCTTAAACATAGATTCATTATAAAATAAATTTTTGAAAATTTTAAGAATAAAATAATAAATAAGTAAAATCATGCAAGATAAAAAAATATATGTGAAATGTTATAATAAAAATTAAAATGTACTTTATTTTTAAACTTTAAATGTACTAGCTTATAAACTTATTATTATGATATTTTTTGTATTGACAATTTAACAACATTTAACAATAAAAGATACAAGCGAAAAATGAAAAAGATAAGATTTTGATTATTGAATTATTTAGTTACTTGGGTTACTCTAATGATATTCCTGAATAGCTGCTGGTTGTTTTATTATTATTTTAGTGTTTACCATTGATTTCTGGAGGGTTGCAAAATTGGTTGCAATTATAAGATGACTAGTTGTTTTATTATTATTCATACTTTTTAAATTGATATTTAAACGGTTGCAATATTGGTTGCAAGGACGAGATGGATAATTGTTTTATTATTATTTTGATTTATTTTGTTAATATTTAGATGGTTGCACCACTGGGTTTGGTTGCTAGGAGAAGAGGAAGAGTCATCGAATTATCTTTACGAGATTACAGCATTTAAAGGAAATACCAAGTAAGAATATTACCCACAAAGGATCCTCATTCCGCAACATTGTTTACAGTCATGAAAGTCAAGAGAATACTTTTTCTTGACTCCTGAAGAAAGTAAGCCTAAAACCTATGATGAATCAGTTCTGAAAATGTTAATATTATTAAATAATAAAGATCTTCGCTCACATATGTTTGTTTGCATGTCAGCTATAGCTGGCCAAACCTCCGGGGCTAAAAAATTAGATTTTTGAAAAATTTCAGGGGCAACCCCAGTCACTTCAGCTATTTTTATAATATAGCTCTTTGCTCATATATGATATATTATATATATATATGTTTATTTCAGTTGAAACGCAACAATCTTCTTTAACACTTTATTCATAAACAAATTGTTTCATGCTTTTATGCATTGAGGGGAGGAAGGCCAACCACATCAATCTCTAGTCCGAACCACATTCTCCTCATTTTCTCGTCCGAACCACCTGGAAATCCTCGTCCTTGAAAATAAATACATTTTTTAAAAATATGGCGACGTTAGGGCATAAAACATGACTAGAATAAAGCTTTCCAAGGATTTTGAGATGTTGGAATCTTCAAATCCACGAGAATGATGTCAAACATTATTTAGGTAAAACTTAAATCTCTTCTGCCTCCATAATGGCTAACCTTCGAGATATAAAATAAATAGAAAAATATTCGGCATATCTCTGCCTATAATTTTCCCCATGGAACCACCCGGAAAAATTCTATGGTTTTCACTATAGTTAACAAAAACGATTAAAGTTCTAAAAACTCGGAATTATTTGCGGCATTCTACAACAGGAATATCTAAAAATGCGCGTAAAAAAGGTGTACATTTTTAAGGACATTAAACTTGAAATCTTTAATTCAATTGAAACTTTTTACTTTGATTCACAAAAATTTGATATTTCATTTATGCCCTAACGTGGCTTGATTCTTAAAAAATAGTTTTAAATGGAAGGATTAGATTAGAAAAATAATATTGAAAGGACGATGATTTCGAGGTAGTTCGGACGAGAAAATGAGGAGAATGTGGTTCGGACTAGAGGTTGATGTGGTTGGCCTTCCTCCCCTCATGCAATCATCAGTATGAATGATTCGAGAATTTTTCACAGATGTTTCGCGGATTTTCATTAGATGCTAAATTGATTTCAAATTAATGTTACATATAGATACATACAATAAAACAATAATATATTTATTATATATGTTAGCTATAGCTGCCCAAACGAAAAAACCAAGTTGGCTGACATTTGTTGAGGGAACATAAGTTTTTTTTTTTAAATGTGTTTTTAAAATTCCACGAGCAACGCCAGTTATTATTTCATATTTGTCGATTAACAAGTATCTGTGTAATCTGTGTTCAGATATGTTTACGGGAGTGAGGTATCCTCGTTACGGACTTCAGATGATGATATCGTGTCAGAAGGTGATGCATAAAAATATACCAGTGCTTAGGATCAATTTTGTTTTGATGCGGGTGCGGATCCGCACTGGAAAAAATGGATCCGGATCCAAATCCAGGACAAAATTATTTCTTTAGATTTGCTGATTTTTTTTAACAAAACAAAATTGTCAAATTCTTTTTTTTCCGCTCATTTTTATGTTAAAAATCCAGAAATACAAAATCTTGCGGATCCAACGATCCTAAGCACTGAAATAAACTTATCTTAGGAGTGTTAAACAAAAGAAAATTTCAAAAAAGGAAACAAAAAGACATATTTGTTCATGTTCATCTTTAAATATAATAATGTCGGCGTAATTAAGTGAGGCGTCTTTTAAACAGTTAGATGTCTAATTAAAAAATTTGTATTTCTCGTTTTCACTCTTGTTTTAAATAAAGTAAAAGTGACTCGCTGATACTCTAGTAGAGTTAATGAATAAAATGGAGACATTTTTTAACGGCGATATCTTTTTTGCTGTTAATCTGGTTAAGGGCTCTAATAGGTGCTATTGTTAACCGGAGATATAACGCTTTTATCAGACGGTCACTTGAAATTATGCTTACAGTCCCTTTAAAGGAATTGTAACCATAATTTTAACTGAAACGATGACAATGTTCCATTTACAAGTGTACCCGTTGTGTCTGATCAAGTATGAGTTAGATATCAATGTTTATAATTTTAAAAACGGATTATTTTCTATTGCGATTTCTCTATAAAAGTGACTTGCGCATTTCTACTACAGAAAGGCGTCTCGGAAACATCTGAAACTTCTAAAAACTACAGTATCTTCCACATTAATAATCAGACAATGGTGTAAAGAGTACCTTTGTGAATGGGGTATTGTCATCTATGTCTAGAGGGTCACCTTAAATTGCGTTTACAGTCCCTTTAATCTTGGTTTTCTCCTTAATTGTCTACAAAAGTCACTTGCGCAGTTCTACCACAGAAAAACATATATGATGAATTATCAGAACTGAATAGTTATAAATCTAGAAAAACGACAATATCTTCCATATAATTGATCAAATAAAGGTTTCAAGGGTACAGTTGTGAATCGGACTTTGCTATCTTTGCAAGGAGGGTAACTTAAAATTACGCTAACAGCCCTTTTAAGGGTTACACAATTAAAATATTTACAATTTACAAAATACAATATTTTTAATTTGTCTAGATATTTATCATAAAATTCTTCTTCAGGGTTCCGAGACCTCTGTCTAAGTCTCTGGAACAATTTGTCTCGGTTCATCCAAGTTCTTTGACCTCGTTTATACAATTTCATGAGTTGTCTTGAAGAATTTTGAATAAATTTCCATATTTAGGAAAATGTTTATCTATCAGTGATGCCATTGGAAGACGGTTACGTGACGGTGATAAAATAAGATATAAGGTAGAGTTTAGTTTTATTAAATCCCATTCTGCTCCCCCCCCCCCTCCCCCTGGTAAGGATTACTATTACTATTTTTCTGTAACTGCTCTAAGCCGAAAAAAGAAAAGAAAAAATCCGATTTGCACGTTTTTTCATTCTATAAAAAACTTTGTCTCCAAAAATTCCTTTATTTTTCCCCTAATAATAATTAATTATCCCAATTTAGCGAATAAAATCTACAAAAAAAGATTTTCATAGAAGGGGGGGGGTGATAATTATTCGAAAAAAAAATAAACACTCCCCTGCGATCCCCCCCCCCTGCTCCTTCCTTTAGTAGTCATTATCTTTTACTATCAGCTAGTTATCAGCTAGTTCCATGAGTATCAAACTTGAGTTTGTATTCCAGTTTTAAATCTAGTTTTCCTATCCTAGTATCTGTTAGTATCTGTTATAGTTCAAGAATGTTTCTTAATTAATATTTTCACTCGGCTTGGATTTTGTTAAAAATCTGGATAACAATTACAAAAAAAGATTTCAATAATGGTTGCCATTGATTAGAGCCGCGGCCGTTTTAATCTTAATATTTAATCTTCATTTTGTTATTGGAATTATTATTCATTTAATATGTGGTTGACAGGTTTTGACCTACGTCTTTTTCGCTATTTGCAAATTTTGTGTGTTTTCAAGAAAAAAATAATTGGTTGCCTAAGCCATAGCACTCAACATTTTTTCTAACCGGTGTCCTGCACATGGAGCGGACTCTTGCATGAGGCATGGGGTGGACTGGACCTCTAAAGTTTTAACTATTTAACGCAATGTTTGACATAAAAAGCAATGTTAAAACATTAAAAATTATTAGTTAACATATATTAAATACGCATTAAGTTCTTAAATGCAGGGTGGCCAAAATGTACGGATTGTACGGATTGATTTTTTGTTAACCCTAAAATTGTACGGATTTGTTTTCAAATTGTACGGATTTTACGGATTTTTATCCTGGAAAATACACCGTTTTTTAAAAGTTTTCACTCATTTCAGCAAATTTTTCATGAAAATAAAAAAAATTCTCGTCAAAATGAAGTTAGTTTAACTTATTTTCTGCATTCTAAATAATATTAGATTGATTAATGTTTCAATTGACAATCAAAATTCATTCATAATTTTCGAGATATGTCCAAGAAGTGTTTATTTGAGAATATGTTCCATAAGTACTTATTTGATTGCTTATTCAAGAAGATGTTCCAGTATCCTGTACCCAGTATCCTATTCCCAGTATCCTGTACCCAGTATCCTGTACCCAGTATCCTG